AAAAATTAACATTTTCAAAAATTAAGTTTTTTTTCGAAATCATGCTTTGTAAGTGAGCCAAAGACCCAGAACATATTCTTAGAACATAAATGAAGAAATCTGTAAATGGATTGCATTTAATTTTAATTCTGTCGCCAAAGGCACTGATTTGTTTATTACTTTTTTCTTAAAAAAATAAGACTATCATGTTATTTCGACCATATTTCCGTTAATTTTGATTTTAAAGAGTTTTAAAAAAGCTCATTTTAAAGGTTTTTCAAAGTAAGTAAGTAAAGTAAGTAATATTTATGGTTTTGGCGTTGTTTAACGTTAACTGGTTCCAATTTAGTTTTTAGCTAACATATAATAATGTTTAAAAATCCATAACTCGGTTCATATTGCAATTAGAGAAAAACAAAATGATGCCATTAGATTTGTTTTTTTATTACCTTTCTTTTTGTTCATTACAACTTTTTCGTTAAATCCAATGGTTTCAGAATTATTTGCAAAAACCTGTCAGAAAACAAGTACTTTTTCAGTAAAAAATGAACATTTTTAATGTCGAATTACTCGGAAAGTAGGTATTGGATTATCCAAAAAACTTTATATAACATTTTTGTTACTTAAAATTGACTCCTCTATCGATTCCCGTGATTATTTTGGGCGTAAAAATGTCCACCCCGAAGAAGGGGTGGTAACCACCTCCAGGCCAAAAGCACATTTCGGCACTATATAAGTTTTGTTCTTTGAAGCATTCCCCACATTCAGTCAAAATTTCACGTCAATCGGTTCGGTTATAAAGAATTCGGAGGTAGAAACCCTGAGTAACTGGACTAATTGGGAAATATTTTATTATTAATTAAAAACCATCAAAAATTGGTACATGTTCGATAACTATCCTAGGTGTATTTAGAATGCCTCCAAGCATACAGGGCAGGTAAAAAAAAAAACTAAAAAATTAAAGGTATAAGTATACGTATAGTAAGAATAGAAAGTAATTACAAATAACAATTTTCCATTTTGATTAAGTTTTTTTTTATTTTGTGGCTTAGTAAAGTCTGCATTGCTAAAAAATATATGTTGCACATTTAATGGCACACACTGTATACAACACGACACGATTCAAAACATGAATCGTAAGTAACTAGTTATATAGTCCCAGCAAAAATGATTGTTGATTTTTTTTTATCTTAAATTTCCAGAAAGCAGGCGATGGCAGCTAGAGCCGAGGCGGAAAGGGACGGAATGAAAGTCCCCCTTACCCTAGAAGACTACTGCATAAAAACGCAAGTGAAGCCGAATACATCAGAGTCCCAAGTGGAAATGACAGATTTCTACGATGACGACTACGATGAGGATTACGACGATCCCTCAGACGGTTCGGAGTATGCCGATGAAGACGACAACGATAGCGGCAACGGGGAGTCGTGATGTCATTAAGTCACTCGTTGAGTCCGTTACTGTATATTATTTAGATTAATTTTGCATACTGGGTTATATTTTTCATAAAAAAAAAGTTAATCAGCATAAACGTATGGTTGCTTTTGTTAAGGAATTATTTTTTTTTACTCCTATAACTTTTTTTTTGTAGTAGATGTGGTTTGAGCTAGATCGGAACTTGTCAGTTGTGAGATGGACGGATACAGTTTGTTTCGGGGTGAACATTAGAGTGCGCAAATGTCTAATTTTATTCCTACAACGTCAAAAATAATGAAAAACGGAAGCCAAAGCAAATTATATTGCACGATTTCTTTAATCGTTGTTGCATTTTTTGGATGTTACTAATTAACTGTGAATTTGTCGTTTTACTAAATACCTCGTTTTTTTTGCCAAAATTTAGTTCGGTAAACAAAGACATACAAATTAGGAAAAATTCCGTAGAATTGAATGAACTACTTTACTCCAGCTGAACGTTGGGGCTTAATTTTCAAAATGGAGTCCAAAGTTAGCAAAAAAAAAACTTCTTTTCATTCAAAAAAAAGTTGTAAAACTTTTTATAACAAAAATGTTGAGCCCAGCCCAATGTCAATTGATAAACAAATTATTGCAAAAAAACTGCTAAAAATCGCATATTTTTAAAACTTCTAAATCATTAAAACAAAAAAAAAATTTTTACGAAAACTTCCAGAATATCGTGTAAAATTGCAAAATATTTGATAGTTTTAGCAAAAATTGAGGTTTTCGAGAGAAAGTCATATTTTTCAAGTTTCAATAAATCATTCGGTAATGCACTTACGTGACCCATATTGGGCTTAAAATTTTCTCGAAGAGTTGTACTTTTCTGTGCAAATTGTGCGCGTTTTGCAAAATAATCGGAAATATGCGAAAAATCTACCGAAACTGACTTCTTTTTTTTTGGAATGAAAAATGTAGATCTCTTTCTTATTGCAGAAAATTTCATTGGAATGGCATTATTATTTAAAAAACCAACAGGAGTCGAGAAATTTTTTTTCCCGAAAAATCGCTACGACCTCATTTATTACTATTAAGTCTGAAATTTTCACATGTAATTGAATACTTTTACTTCAATATAAAAAATAGTCCGCAATAATTGACCCCCTTTTTTTACTGTAAGCTTAGTTTTGTTGGGCCCTGTAAAATGCTTGCTCCGCTCGACACGTTGATGCTCGTAGTGGAGAGTCGCGTAAGTGCATGACTATGATTAATTGAAACTTGAAAAAATTTCTTTTTTTCAAGAAACTCAATTTTTGCAAAAGCTATCAAATAATTTGCAATTTTACAAAAATGCACTATTCTACTTGCTGAAGACTACATATTTTGAAAGTTTTGCAACAGACGTATAAAAACCATATATAAAAATCAATTATAATTAGATCAATGAAAAAAAAAAATTGGTCTGGTTAGACCCCAAAGACATCCCTGCTTAAACTAGACTTAAACCACAATCTAAGACTGTACTAACGCCTCTTTTTTTGCAATTTTTTTACGATCTCATCGAATTCAATTGGATTTTGGAACATTGTATATAACTTACCTGTATTTGCCCGAGTAAGAAAGTTTTGATATAAAAAAGGTAAAAAATATTGACAGATTGTATATAGTACCAAAAATGAAGGTGTAACTTAATTTAAGAAGCCTATCCGTAAAATTTTCTCTTGATTTAGGTTAAGAAAGAGTAGGATTTTATTGGTAAGTTTTACTCTCTTGTAAATATTCAATAGAATTGTGGATTATTTATTTAGATTTAGCTCTATGATTTCTGGATGTGAAGTAATCAATGGTTAACATTTTTGGAGTTCGCTGTAACTTTATGAAGTGACAGCTATTTTTTGAATATTTTCTATGTACAGGGTGTCCCAAAAATCGCGTCTCGGGCCCATAACAGACAAACGAAAAACGACCGTAAAAATCTGTTTAGATGGCGTGGATCGAGACTCGCCAGGGTTCGTTTTGCACTTGAAAAACATTTTTATTCAAAATTCGGAAAATAAAAAATTACATCAAATTTTTTCCATGAACATATCCATTTTTTTTATACTTATCTAAAATTGTCTATTTTTTATGAACATTTTTCTGCAGAAATTTTTTCGTTACTTAAAAAGTTACAATAACAAACATTATACAAAAATTTATCCTATCGTATTGGAACCAGTCATGACTTAATCAATCAACATTAGTGTAAAAAACAATCGCTGTAACACTTGTCACAAATTTGTTTACATATAATAACAAAACACAAAACAAAATTAAAATTATGATTATTACTTTAAAAAATTCTCGATATGCATGCCTCCTACTTCTAAGCATTTATCCAATCTTTTCCTAACTTCCCTTGTGTAGCTTTAAACAACGTTTCTCTTGAAAGTTTCTCACAAACATGTCGAATCTTCTGCATTAAATGCTCCAAACTTCTCGTCGGTGTCTTATATACTTGATTCTTTAATGTTACCCATAAAAAATTGTCTAGGAGCGTCAAGTCTGGAGACTTTGAAATGCATTCCAATAACGCCACACCAAACATTTATTGCATAATGGCCCTGATTTTGAATGGGATTAACGTAGTGTGGATTTTCAGTGGCCCATTAATGTTTGTTTCTTTTATTTGACTTTTCATTACTTATGAAACGACTCTGATCGGTCCAAAGAATATATTGTCTAGTATCTATTTCCAAATTAACCATTATTTAAGTCTTTTTTCATAAATTAAAATCATGTCAACTTTTTCATTGTTTGTGAAACTAATAGTAAACAGAGTTGTGGCAGCTGTTTCCGCCATTGTTTTCACAGCAATGTTGATTAAATCATGACCAATTCCAATACAATAGGATACATTTTTATATAATGTTTGTTATTGTAACTTTTTAAGGGGAAGAGATAGAGAAAAAATTTCTGCACAAAAAATTTTCATAAAAATTAGGTCATTTTAGTAATCATAATAAATGGGTATGTTCGTGGAAAAAAAAGTTGATGGCGTCATTTTTTTTATTTTCCGAATTTTGAAAAAAATGTTTTTCAAGAGCAAAACGGGTGGGCCTTAGCGAGTCCCTATTCACTCCATCTAAACAGATTTTTACTGTCGTTTTTTGTTTGTCTATTATTGGCACCAAACCCTAACTTTGGGACACGCGTATTTTATCAGGGCGTTACGTTAAACGTTGGTACACAGCAATAGTGGTTTTAACTCGCCTCGGAATATTCACCAGTGTTCACATTTGTTGTGTGGAGTTTATTATGTAATTTTGAATTGTACCATTGATTGAATAAATGTTTTAAACCACAGTTTTCGTAGTGTTTCTATCCAAATGTGATATCACTTAACAATAAGAGCTTACGACTTTTTAGCATTGATTGCATTATTTCTGGAGATGAGAATATTTTCTTGATTATTTTGAGAACTTGTGAAATATCCATGAGTTATTATTATTAATAATAATAATAATGATAATAATATTAAGGTTCGTACTCGTTACATATTTTTTACAAAAAATTACGTATTTTTGGGTTTCTTTTATATTTTTTCAAACGCGTACGTAAATTACGTATTTTCAGAGTTTGCAACCTAATTTGAAAGTATAAGTAATCGTACTTTTTAATAACTACCAGATTTTAGAAAAATTACATTGCCCATAATATCTTTATTCTTTAGAATAGAAAAATTTGAAAGTAACCTGACATGAAAGCTTTAATCGCATTTAAGGAAGAAAAATAATTACTGACAACTATAAATAATGATTTTAATGGATTTATTAAAATATAGGGAAAATTGCTTATTTTAATGATTGGATGGTTATTTTCAGATGTGAATGGTCACTGATTGGCCATTTTTTGCTAAGTGACTCATTACTTCTAGTTCCTATTATTAGTATAATAGAATACTTTCAATAATAGAAGTGCTGTGCCGACATTATTTTTAAAATCGACTACAAGGTAACCTATTAATTGCAATAATATCGCCTCCGATAGTATCCAGTATTCAGCAAAACAATTTGTTAATGTAACATTACAGAATCTTCAGAATACGCGCAACCAAACTTCAATTTCGGATGATTTTTCACTTCCACCTTTTAAAAAACCGAAATATATTCAAAATCGTCATTCGCTATAAGTGTATTATGTTGTACTACAAGTACTTCAATTCCCATATTTAAAAGAAACCAGCAATACATCATACTGATGAGAATCAATTAGTTCAAAACAAATGTATCTAACCAAAACGTTTGACAAGTAACTGTGCAGTGCATTTTACATAAGGGCAGGTGGATAACTTAAAATCTCTTTTAAATTTGCAGTTTTTAACGGTTTCTTCAAAAAAATTATAATAACGAGTCCCCTGTACATTTTTTTGATACTTAAATATTTTCGAATTCATAACGGAATTTATAGGTACCGATATTTGTCACACATTTAAAAAATCACTGCTTTAACTTTTTCATTTAAGAGCAGGATTACGAGAGCTAAAGTCGTAACACTTCTTAGATGGCGATTGGATGTTCTTTTCCTAATTTCTTGTATAAATTTGAGAACCCAATTTTCAGACGAGAATCTACTCGTCGGTAACTCTCCATTAATAAAATCTAGCCATTCGCCAGTAGATGGTACTGATTAGCATACATTAAATAAT